CTGTCATTTTATTGAACGATTGCTTGAGTTTGTATATTTCTTCGTCCTCAACAGATTTTGTTAACTAGTGGTTCATCTTCCGGGTAAGTAGATTGGTTGAGCATTGCTTGCCATTGTCTACGTCTTAATTGTTTCGCTCGGTCTCATAGACATCCTAACATATCAAAGGATAAACATTGAAAATCATTTTTGATTATGTGTCACTTTTACCATTTTTCTCAATCTTTTTATTCTTATTTATTTGAATTCTCTATACTCATTACCAAACACATTTAATTTCAAATAACTTATTCTGATTTACTATAATCTCAATTGCCAAACACACACAAAATATTTACAAACTTGCTAAAAACAATCTTTTAAAGATTGTATATTGATTCTTACCATTAAAATTAAACAAAAATGAATATATGTTTCGACAAAAAAAATAAAATTTCAAAATTTGTTTTAGTTTTACGACCAATTAATTAAATCTGAATTTGTATTTAAAACCTATACTATTCCTTTTATAATTATCCTTAACCTATAAAAATCAATTATATTTGCAATCTTTCATACTGTATACTTGAGACATAAGCCAGTTTTTTTTTAAGATTATGATATTAAATAAATACAGATATGTATTGACTAATAAATTAAAAATTTGTTGTTTTTAATTATATCACAGGTTGAACATATTTCTACACGAAATAATTTTAAAATTTATATATATAAACGAGTTTTGAATTCCGTATAATAATTTTTTCAAAAACTATAAATAATTTTTTAAAACCTAAGACTATCTTGATTTCACTCGCTAACCATATTATCCCACAGATAGTTATTTGGTATATATGTGAGACGGTAAACCTTTTGAGCTTATTTATCTACAAAAAGAAAAAGAAAAACAAGCTGGGAGGAAATACTTATTTGCTACTCTGTGAAACGAACCATATATATGCACCTTTCTTTTTACTTACTACTCTATGAAAAGAACCATATGTATTTTTTTCTATTACTTCTCTGAGAAAAGCATAGTTACAAGAATTGGCAAGAAAATTAACTTTACGCTATGATAATAGGGTATTTGCAAAACAAACAAAAAAAAAAATTCTTAGAAATATCATGTTTTGAAGTTTTTGTTTGAAAATACCACTATTAGTTTACATTTTCAACAATAACACAAATTCTACATCAAAATAACTTTTTTTTTGTGTGCTAACACATTGTTTTTCATTAACTTAAATATCGATCTTACATCCATTCATAACACAGTACAAGAAAGCATTAAAACTTAAAGTACAAGAAAGCATTAAAACTTAGAGAGAAACAAGATAATTATACGACAGCGAATCATAAAACTCACGGCTAAGCTAGAAAACATAAGTCACATTGAACCGTGCGTGACGTTGAAAAACTACCCATTTTTAACATGAGAAATTTTAAATTCTATATTGGAAAAGGAAGAAAAACATGATGTTTAATTTTGCTTGTAGCTTTTTAAGATAAATAAACATTTTTATATAAAAGTTGGAACCATAAAAAACATCAGATACAAGACACCTCCCTTGGGCATTGATGTTCTAAAAGGGGATTTAAAAGGAAAGCTCAACTGCATGATATTGATGTTGTCAGGGGCTGTGGGACCATGATATCTTGTTCCTCTTGGAGATGAAGAATAATTATAGCTTTGCACAAAGTTTAAGAAGTTGAGCTATACCAACCATTTTGTTATTTCTCCTAATGGGATTGGCTTAGTGGAGGGTTAGCCAATTTTTGAAATGATGAGGTGGAACCTAAGAAAGCAATGAATCGGTTGGTAGAATTGACCTCTACTTTCAGGCAACAAAACAATGGAGCTGAAACTCTATTTATGAAGACTCAGTTTATCTTCTCTCCATGATAGTGTATAAGGACATCGGGTGCCTCCTCGATATCGTCATCAGGCTGAGGCAAAATCCCAATAAGAGAATCTAAATTTCGGTATATTACATTTCTAGCGAAAGGATTTAAAGAAAGATGAGTCAATGAGAGAAATAGTGGTAACAGTTTCACCTGCAGTAATTGAAGTAAATGCCAAAGTAAATAATCGACGATCATAACCATACAGAATAGCTTCCCTGCCCAAGCTCCACACGATAGGAACCTACAAAGATCAGGTAAATATTCAATCTTTATTGAAGAAAAATGAGGTTTTACATCAATCTTGATGAGTAAGATATTAGGTACCGCGATAGACGTTCTAGAAGATTCCTATTGGAGCATTTCAAGGCTCGGTCGTACACAATCTCGGTTCTTTTGGCAACATCTTGCCAACTGTAGAGCTTCTTCATCTGGTAGCAACACGCAAAGAGAAAATCTAAGGCTTAAAAGAAGGGTTCCTAACTGGTAAATATGCTAGGATTGGAAACAGAACTCACTCGATTGTGCATCTCCTCGGGCTTAATACTTGGGAGTATTGATATTGCCTTCTCAATTGCTCGTACCATATCATCCGGATCTGGCTCAGCAAGTACAACCATGTCATCTGGTAGGACCTACAGATTTTGAAGAAAACATGATTTTATCAATCTGGAAGAAACAATGAGGATGAAGTGAAAGGGCAAAGAATGTATTGTAGGAAATGTTACATGCCTCTGGGACACCTCCAACACGAGTGCTGACAGTTAATAATCCGCAACTAGCTGCCTCTAATATAGCTATGCAGAACGCTTCTGTTAAAGAACTGTTAGAGGATCAAGACTGTAGTAAAAATGAACATTCGGCAGTAACTGATAAAAACTAACGTCGAGTTTTGCAAATTTAAACACACAAAAAGGCAAGAATCAGCGCACCTGTTTAGAAAAATATGACCGGTTACCAAAACAGAGCGGACACGAGAATGCGGCACTGCACCCAGCATTTCGACTCTATCTTGGAGAGAATGCTTCTCTCTCATTTCCTCTAGCCGCACATGTTTTGGTCCATCCCCTCCAACTACAAAACGAACCTTTCAAAAGCCAAATAAAAAAAAAAGTAAATGCAGATACCAAAAAGAAACGGCTAAATGATTGGTTACTAATGTGCTCTGAGAGTTTAAACTCACATTGGGGTATAAACGGCAGACTTCTGGAATGACTTCAACGAGCAAATCCGCACCTTTCCGATAAACCAATCTACTAATGACAACTATAGTGATGACATCAGTACTGGGTCGAACAGAAGCGGGCTTGAACATAGCCGTATCAACAGCATTTGGTATCATGAAAACCTTTGCAGGGGACAATCCAGACCTTAGAACCGTGTTCTCCTTGCTCGTGTGTGAAACACAAATCGCCTGGTCTATATCTGCTAAACTGAACTGTAAGACCTTGTTCATGTGGATGCTACCAACATCAGCAAAACCGTACAAGGAATGATCTGTGAACACAACTTTGTAGCCCATTGTCCGGGCGTGCATCAAAGCTTCATGACAAAGAGTAGAGAAAGCTTGGTGGCCATGAACTACCGTAATTTTCTCGCGTCTAAGAATGGTCCTTACAATGGGAAATGTTCCATAAACCGTTGGAAATGTGGTCTGCATAACAAAAGGTTTCCAAGGTACATAATAGACTTTGAGTCCACCAGTCATGTATCGAACTCCAGAGCGGTTCCCATAAGCATGTGTCATGACCACTACCTGCAACAATAGCAGCAACACAGAGACTAAATAAGATCCTATCACACTATGCCTAAATTAATTTACATCTGATTCGAATTGCATACAAGGGGTTTGAGAATTTGATAGAATCTGAGACTGACCTTGTGTCCGAGCTTTAACAAGCATTGAGAGAGATAGTAGATGTGATTCTCCACACCACCAAAGTTTGGGAAGAAGAAATCAGAGACCATTAAAACCCTAGCTTTCGGTTCCGCCATTGATACTCAAGTCACAAAATTAGATTCGAAGCTCTGAAATTTCTGCACATGTAAAAGAAATTCGACATTGATTATCACGGAAACAAGAAAGTTCCACAACGATTATGATAAACCCAGAATTGGATTCATCGAAGGGATAGAGATG